CCCCAGTGTCCCTCAAAAGGGAGAAAATAGGAAGTATGCCAAAAACCGGAGCAATAGGAGATGGTTAAGCGGTCCCGAACCGGGGCACACGGCCAACGGTCCCGAAAACTGGGAACCGGACTCCGAAATGGGCAAAATGGCCTACGGCCACCAAATGTAGCCTACGGACATTGAGAGTTGGTCTACGGGACCTCTCCCTTCCCTTAGGAAAAGAAACAGAGAAAATCGAGTCTGGCTCGCAAACCGAGACAAGGCACAGAAGAGGGTTCGGAAGTCCGGAGGCAGGGCTCACGGCCGCGACTCTGAAACTTCTAAACAAGTACATATGCAACATCACCGAGCGCTCCATTGGTGACGTCTGAGTCTTAAGGTCGGTCAAAAATGGGGTGTCTACAGTTGCCCCTCTTTGACAGAACTCGGAAGTCATAAGTGACGGGAGTGAATGTCAAAGCCCAGAGACGACCCATTTTTGACAAGGCCGAAGACTTAGACAAACACCTATGGAGTCCCCAAACCATGAAAGGAACTAAATGAAACATGAAGTACGGACCAAAATAAGAACTTTTTCAGAACTATAAAATGGCCAATGTTGTACATGAAGCAAGTATTCGCAAATAGATGCAACAGTTTTAAGCAAGAATGCAAAGCAACAACTACATTTCATGCAGTTAAGAATGCGGAGGATTATTCAATCCCCGCCACGTCTCACACGGAGAAGATACGATACCTACGCGATTCGTCTGGTCGCACCACCCTCAATTGAACCGTACATACAATATTGTGCCTGCAAAAGAGAGAAATTGCAACAAGCACAATATGCTAACAACATATATTTAATGTGATTCTGGAAGTTTGACACACGTAGTGCCGGCAAGTGTATGCATCGCAATGCAAGAGTGGAACATGCGTGACAACGTATGCTCAAACACAGAAGTACGCCAATATCAAGAAATGTGCATAACAATGCAAGTATGCTCATGAGAATGCAAGTTACGTGCGTGATAGTACAAAACGAGCACGAATCAGGGTGTTCATTTGTCATGAAAACGAGTACAGAAATGCGCGTTTCAACGGAGGTAACTCAACTACGGCTTCCGATCCGCTTCCTGGAAAGGTTACAACTCATTTAAAAAGGATACACTTCGATTTTGATGAGTGATGATGAGACATATGTCAGAACTTGAAGCCGAAGTCCCAACGGAGCAATTTCGCGACCGGAAGTGTACTTTTCTTGAACTTTTTCAGGTCCCGGGAACTCCGATCTTCCTCAAAATTTGCAGAGAGCTAGGTGGGCATGTGGGGAACATGGCCGGCCGTTTATCTTCCCAAGGGGAGGTGGCCAACCGTTTTCCCATAAAGCTAATGGCTGGCCGGCCATTTCTGCAAAAAGCAGATAGCTGGCCGGCTAGATAAAGGGGCCGGCCGGCCATGTGCCAGATCCGAGGGGTATTTTGGTATTTTCACCCCCTCTTTGCATGCTTCTTCAACCAAGACTTGAGGCCTATAAATGGTAGCCGAGGCCTCCTCCTTTCTTGCCTTCTACAACACTTTCCTCTCCAGATCTGAGTTTCACGCGCGTTTTCCAACGCCCCGTGCAAATTGTTTTCGCAAAAACACTCAGTTTCAAGCACTTTGAAGCGATTAAATTCCGGCTTCGGAGCTTCTTTTGCATTTTCGCCACTTGAGGTAAGTTTGTCTCAATATTTGGAAGATTTTCTCGGGAGTTGACTTTTGTTGACTTTTTCTTTCCTGAGAGTTGACTTTTGTTGACTTTTTCCAATTTTGGCCCATTTGCTCATTTTTGCTTCTTTTGCAGATTCTTTGAAAATGGCGGGCAATTCTCCCCACGGCGGAGGTTTTCCAGGTGCCGGAGATGATTTCGATCCCATGACTCTACCCCCGAGGACCCGACCTTTTA